GAAATAATTCAATTGTGATAGAACAAATATTCTATTGTTGTTTTAGTATGTTTGTTTTGCTAAACCAGGTGCTAGTCTGCGACGTCTCATCCACACAATATTTCCAAGTCAGGTTCTTTAGAACAAAGACAGTATTTTCTAGCCAGGCTTCATTTAACTCTTTATCCCAGAGTATACCGAGGTTATCCCTCTGAATTCGATGGGATAGCATTTCTGTTTGAGTTTCTGGGTCCTTACTGACCTTTGACTCATGCACGCTGAGGGATTTCTTAGAATTCTGTTACAAGTTTGGATGCACATGCAACAAGTAATATAAAAAAAATTAGGGATAGGAAATGATAGGAAAAAATATCAGCTGGTTAAACTAGAGGAAACTAAAATGTTTGACTGTTTTCCAAAGGAGCCAGTACAGAACAACTCGAAATAAATTTTCGCTTTCGATATCGCATTGACCTCTGTCTTTCTTGGAATCCATAATTTCATGCGTCATTCTACTTATGCCAAAAACTGATCCAGCAGTCATTGATGTTTTCTGAAAACAGTTTTCAGTTACTGTATTTTACCTTTGGAAATTTACAGTGAAGTGAGTATCCAAGAATATACTGAGAATCATGAATTAAGAAATATAGCGGTCAACCGGAATCAGTCTGGTGTTTTTCTTTCCTCATTCGATGCAATAAACTTATTGCGGCTTCGCAGTAGGCTAATTCTGGTCGCGTACGTGACCAGCAGGGGTTGCCTGTGCCCGAAATACATACATACATACATATATACATACTTTATTGCATAGCTCCCCCTTGGGGGCTCTTCCGCCATACATACACGAAATTAAAATAAAATGAAATAAAATAAACTAGAAAACTATTTACATTTCAATGATAAAATAACGAATTTCTATAAATAATAATGATAGTAATAGAACGTTAATTTTAAAAACTATTTACATTTCAATAATAAAAAAACTATCTATGAATTAAAAAGATATTTAAAAATTGTCTTTTTAAAGCGTTAGAATTTCCAGTGTCTCTTATAAAGTTTTCAGTTTTCAGTTTCAGTTTAAAGTTTTGCCCCACGGTAGCTGAAAGCCTTTTGGCCTATGGCCAGCCTATGGCCAGCCTATACCGAGGCAACGTAAGGTCCTTGTTCTGTCTTGTGACTCTTTGCTGAGTTTTTGCGCGATATTGGAAGCGTCTGTGGAGGTAACCAGGTGTTAGATTCTTTAAGCATTTGTACACCATCACTAGGTCGTTAAAAAGCAGTTTATCCCTTACGTTAAGCCATTTAAGGGACTTCAGGGCTTCTGAAACATGATCGTATTTTCTTAAACCAGCTACGATTCTGCAGGCATAGTTCTGAACTAGCATAAGTTTTCTAACGTTCTTCTTGCTCGTGCTACTCCATACCGTCGAACAATAAAATAATTTGCTGAAAACGAAAGCATTTATAAGATAGATCAATGTTTTTTTATCTAAAAGGTGCTTTATCCTATTAACTCTCGTTAGTTTAAGCATACAGTTAGAGGCAGTTTTAGTGATATGTTCGTTAAAGTCGAAATAAACTGCAACTGATTCAAATTATCTGCAACTGATTCAAATTATCTGAAATCAGCAATATCACCGCATTTGGCTCGATTTCAAGTTCCTCGAAACCGGGGCTCTTTTGTTCGCAGTCAATCGATTCTGAAAGAAAACAAAAACAACAACAGTCGATCATTCGATACAGTGGAATGTACAAAACGTAAAGCACGGGAGAAATCCTATTTCGTATAGAAAGCCACGTTTTAATTTGGCAAGCGAAGAGTATGAAGGCCAGTGAAGGTAAAAAATTCCCGGTGAATTGAAAGTGATACGTTTCTCAGAATATTTCAAGCAATTCCTGGAACTCAACGATAAATAAAGTCGGTGTTTTGACTAAATTTGTATTCAGCCAGGCTCTGTTGTATTTATTTAATTGATAAATTGCTTTAGTTATTAAGAGCTTTTCTGGAAAGTGTGACAAGGTTTGTTCTCCCTTGGTAGTAAAACGTTTTAGTATATACTAAAACAGTGGATAGTGTCTTTCGCCGGCTCTGATTGGCTACTCAATCAGTGAATATCCTGCACTATTCACTGATTCACCTCCAGTTCCTCCGAGCGAGCGACGCCAAACTCGCGTAGGTTGCGAGCAAAATGCTTTCCCGGTTTGCTGCCGTAACAAACTAAGAAATTACACAACTAATCAAGCAAGCTATTTCCGAAATACATGAAGAAGGTGACGAAGTTTGGTTTGGAAGTTTTAACGGGTAAAGCTTTGTCTTTTTGACTTGAATAGTTATAGATAAAACCGGTGAAAAAGTTGTTTGTTTACAAATGCAAATTAAGCTTAAGTCTTGCGTTACTTTATTTAGTTGACTTGTTCACAAATAAGCTTAAAACTAAATTTAATAATCTTTTTTACAGAATTATTTTAAATACAAACAGAATTCACAACTCCTTTTGAAGAAACTTTCCCGTAAGAGCTAAACAAACGCCTTCAAAACTTTTATTTGTCGCTAAGAAAAAGCAACGACCGCGGCCGTTCGGTCATCGCGCGGAAAAATTGTACTCGTTGGCAACAGTAAATGAGTTAAAAATCATCATTTTGTGCTCAATTATATCACTGTCGGTGGCTAGTATTGGATATTTACCTCGCCGCTTCGCGGCCTCGGTAAATATCCAATACTAGCCACCTCCACTTCGGTGAATAATTGTTATTTATACCCAAATAATTTGATACGCTCTCGAAGCGTTAAGAACCGGTTGAACTAGATAGGAAATTCACTCTTTTACTCACGCCATCGTTCGCGTGCCCTTAACCTTATCGTGAGCAGGTTTCAGACAAATAATATTCCGATTTATTTCCACGGACTTTTTCCAATTTAGCTTGATACAAACACTTATTTTGGTTCAAAGTTCAGTTTTTATCGATCGTGTCGTGTTGCGTTACATGCACAATATGTAAGCAATCGAAGTAAACTGCAACTGATTCAAATTATCTGGAATGCCATGCTTTACTCGCATGAGCACCATTGGAAACTGCTAGTTTCATCGAAGATTTTCTAGATCTCCTCTCCTGGTTGCGAAAGCTGTATAACTTTGGTTAACACTTTTTTGCCGTGTTGACACCTTTCATTTCCCCCGGGTTTCCAAACGGGTCAGGCGTTTTTGTCTGGCGTTTTTTTTGTCTTCACTCGATGCAATGAACTCTAAGTTCATCTAAGGTTTTGGAGGCCTAATCCTTCCTGCTTGTGAATGCTGTATAACTTTCGTCAAAACATGTTTTGGCCGTGTTTACACACCTTTAATTTTCCCGTTCCAAGTGGATCAGGACCACGGTGATAATTTGAGTCATGCTGAATTTGGGAGCGATGAAACTTCGTTATTTCAGTTAATCGTGCGGTTGTAGAAGTTTGTAAGAAATTCCTCACAAGCTTAATTTTGTTTTCTCGAGGAAAGATTAGTAAAACTAAAAAGAAACAAATAAATTTGTAATTTCGTAAAGCTGAATAATGGTTCAGCTTGGGAGCTAACTGGACAAATGCTCTCAGTATTACGTTAAAATTCTCGGGATGGGGGATTGATACAGCTATTGATACTTTGTAAGTGTTCCTGAAAAAGATGATAAAACAATAATAACATTACCTAGAGAGCCTAGAAAATATCTGTAGAGCAAAGTATTTTGTCTGGAACGAAGGAAGTTTTCACTCCGTTTTCAAGGGTGTAAAAGGCCTAAAAAATTTAATTCCCTTAGCTCTAAAATTCAGAATGCCTCTAGTATTGCTTTGTTTAATTCTAAACTTCAGTCATTTTCTTGGTATAAGCACAGGCACTTTAGTTCTCTTAATGCTTGTGTGAAGTTTTTGGCTTTTTTCGATTTTTTCTCGTTTATTCTTGCATTATTTTTTTCTCACCTTTTGTTTTTCGTTTTTGCACTGACACGTTCAGCCTTTTCTGTTTTTATGTCCTGTTTAATTATTATTTTCTATGTTCTACAGAAATTGTGCGTGGTGAGAGCCAATTGTCTTGCCGATGTCAGTATTTTATTTATTAATTAGATAACATGATTTGAATGGTAGTCTTATTCACCAGCCTTATTGGCTTCCTTGGGCTCCCTTTCATCATGCATGCATCTATTTTTAAAAAAATTATATGCATATGTTATTTGTATGGCAAAAATGCTAATTAAACAATAAAAACAATAAAATGTCACACCCTGCAAACTATTCTGCGCTGGATACATACAGCCATTTGCACAACTTTGAAAGTACAACCAATTCGTTCAACCATTTAAAATAAGCAACATATTAAGTCCTAAAGATTCTGTTTCGGATTGTCTCAAATCACGAGTTCGTACAAGTTTATTTGCGCTGGCTGTGGAGCTCGTTATATTGGTGAAACCAATAGGCAATTTTATTAATGAGTACCTTTTTCGGGACTGGAATTCTCACATTATCATTCAAGCATCTCAACAGTTCTAAGAATTGTAAAGATAAATGTGGAGTCTCTTCCTTTGAAATCAGTCTTGATATTGCTAGTTCTTATTATCAACTTAAGGCTCAAGGACAGCTTTCATATTGAACATCTGAAACCTGAACTTGACGAGCAAATTGAGCATGTTAGTTTGACATTACTGTTTTCCTTTGTAGTTCGTTTAGTTTTCTTTCATATTATTGGCTGATTCTACTACATTTAGCATTACATTTTAAATTCAGGTTTTACCCACAGTTCGTTTAGTTTTCTTCCATATAATTGTCTGGCTTTAACATGTTTAACGAATTTTGAATTTACAAGCAATCATTGTTTGGATAGTTATACGAGTATTCCGATTTAATTGTACGCTATTAGTATTATACCTTGTATGACTGAAGATGATGTTTGAAACATCGAAACATAGTTCCACAAACTTAAAAGTGTCCTTGTGTTTTTAAAAATTACAACCAATGTACATGTAAAGCAAACTTAAGTAGTGCCCTTCACAAATTAATGCATCAATATGTTTTAGGTGCAGTTTTGGTAACCACAAGTCAAGGGTTCTCTTTCGAAATGATAGAGTTGGAGAAGAGTTTCTCAAGACAAGCAGAACCAATTCCAGTAGAGGTCCAGTTCATAAGCCCGGAGGATCAAATCAAGCCAGGAGATACGTCAATACAGTATCGAGCTGCTCTTTGCGGGGGAACTTACTTTGAGGGTCTCATGGCCCATTTTGCAATCAATCTGGCAAACAATCCGTGGATCATTGAAAACGGAGACTACATTACTGTTGTTGCTAAAGATTCAGCTGGAAATACTTTGGCTTCAAATGTAAATGTAACCACGAAGCAACCCCAGCCGGACTTCAATTTCACCTATCACGCAAAGTAAGTACTAGTCAATTCCAAAGCAATCCAAAAGTCCTTTGGGACTTTTCCCTAGCATTAACCGAGGACGGTTTTTTTATCCCTTTCCCTTCTCAAATACCATAATACACAGTGTACATGTTCGTAAGGAGCTTTTGCAGTGCTTATAAACAGGTATTCTTAATATATTTGAGGGGGGCTGAAAAAACGAGTTTACAATTAAAGCAGGTAAAAAACACTTCTATGTTTTTGTAGTAAAAGTTTGTTTCCTGCTCTAGCTAGTTAACAGGCATTCACGCGACCACTCGCTGCCTCCCCTCCCCCCCTCACCTCCATAAAGTAAGGGACGTCACGTGTCATAAAGCATCAACATCATCATCAACAAATTTATTTCACAACGCTAACCACACACAACAAAAGCTGACTTCCAGGTGGGGCGTATGCAAACAAGCATTACAAACAAATAGAAGCAGCATGGTGTTCACAAAAGTTACAAAATTTCAGAGAAAAATTAATTACGTAGAAATGTATACAATATAGCTAGTTTTGCAATATAGTTATGTTGGTGGGAGTTTTGAAAAGTAATTAGTATAAGTTTTAAATATACACACATGTAAATTAATGAATCAGACCGATCCAGCCGAAGGAAAAGAGGCAAGTTTGCTTTTAAATTTGTAAAGCGATTGTACTGTTTTTGCCACATAAGAAATTTATTCCAGAGCATTGCACCACTATAGTTGAAACTATGTTTGAGGAAATTAGTGTTTGGCCTTGGAAGTGCTAGATCAGTTTGATGCAAGATTTCTCAGGTTATAGTTGATGTTCAGTAGTATCGTTGAGTCTTGTAAAGGAAGCTCTCAAATGGGGGGTGGGGGACAGATTGATCCTTGAGGATCTTGTACATTAGGGTAGCCTTTATATGTGAGCGCCTGGTCACACGGGTAGGGTGACGGGGGCGGTGTTGTTGCGGCTTTAAGAAACGCATTTTTTAAAAAATCTGTTTTTAACGACCCATCCCCTAGTTATTCAGATCTAGCAGTCCAGGCCATTCCAGACGTAGTGAGAAGTGTCACTTTCAATTGAAACTTTTCAGACAGATAGGTCTATTTCGAAATAGTATGCACGAAAGTATTGGGTTTCCTGGAAAACTTTCGAAAAAATGCCAATTTTATTTTTAAAATGAGCGGTCCAACTGGCCGTTTTTGACTTTTATTGGACGCCCTAAGACTGAGAAAATCATCTCTGGGCAAGAATTAATGGGAGCGATACTTGCACAAAATATGTTCGGGAGTGGTTGCGGAATGGCAGACTAACAATGGCCAGACTTTGCTGACGATGGAGGCGCAGAAAGAAAAATACAAAAGGATAAATCGTTTAACAAAGGAATCATCTATATTAAAAAAGAGAATGATGAAGGAAAACAAAGCTAAATTCACGAAGCGCTACCAGGAAAGGGCAAAGAAAAACTGCGAGAGAGTGTTCTCCACGTTTTCTCGATCATAATCTTATGGTGATATAATGGATGCAGATCATTGGCCTTTAGTTAATAGCTACAACCGGTTGCAAAAATACTTGAGACGCTGTACCTTATTTTGACTTAAATTGCGTGCCCGTGATCTTGTGCTTGCGATCACCATCTTCCCCTGTCCGAAGTTGCTAGCAATACAAGACCATACTCAAAACTGAGTGGACAACTTTGAAAGGAGAAGATGGGGAAGGTGCGTATTATATCTCGCAAACGTGTGACTAGTAGCGATTTGAAGTAAGAAAGGCTGGTTTTTGTAGCTACTGCGCATGCGCGAGTAGCTACAATGACAATGCTATCGTCTTGATGGATAGAGTCGATTTTACGAGGGCTTTCGGACACCTTCGGATCACGATCGATTTTCTTGGCGCACGATAATGCCGGTAGTATATTTGATAAGCATCCAATTTCGATAGACTTTACAGGCTATAAAAACAAAAACAAACTTATTGTTTAGAGCTTTTCTTACTTTGAATCTGGTAGTCCGTCTTATTGTGTCAAATACATAAATACTAGTGTAACAAGCGGATTCACCGACCACTTTCCGTAAAAGTGCAATCTCTTTCCGTAAAAATATCGACTGTAAAACGTT